GGACTGACTGGGGAACACCTTGTCGAAGGGTTTTGTTTTGCCCGCTGCTGTTCAACGAATCCCTTGTTGCCGCGGGAATACATTTCGTTACAAATAACGGTGGAAATCTCACTGTTAGAGATTCATCTCCGGGGCAACGATTTCCTAGGCATTGGTGCCAAGGAATTGCTAACCGTTGACAATTGATGGACGTATTATCTTCCGGCCTTCCTGGCTGCACGTCACAATATATATACAAATTCCGTGATTTTAGTCCGCAAGCGAGCTATACCGACCGAGCGACCGCTTTTCGGCTTTAGTGCCAACTTTTGCGGATAGAGGGTGTCGCGTGGTCAGCGCAATGAATCCCACGTTAATTTCGATTTTTTAGACCGGAGTCGCTATTTCCTTGAAATAGCTATTTAGTTATCACCACGAGACTGAGTGGACCCCGTTCCAGATCCACTACGTCTCATAAAAAATCTGGTAGCGCCAGGAATCCAGCCAGGACCTGTGGATCTGTAGCCCGGAACTCTGACCACTAGATCACAGAGGCGAACCGTCACAATATAAATAAATATATATAAAATTCCCGTAATATAATTGCAGAACCATAACAAGCCAAGAAGAGACCATCAGTGCGAGGATTTCTGAGGACTTCAAATAACACCCCAACTTTCCGTTTTAACAGAAGAGACACAAGGACACGAACCATATCGGTTCAAGATCTTAAATATTAGACACTGATAAGATTTGAATTCAAATAATTTGTAAATAACTTTTATATAAAAGCTTTTAAATATATATATTACCAACTTTGTAATAATATTTCCTGAACATGTTGATCTTATGCCTTCTGAAGATGGTCACAGCTGACCGAAACTTGTAAAGGCAGTTGATATCTACAACTTGAATCACACTGAACGGCGTTAACAGTTATTCTATAATTTAGTTACTAACACTGTCCGCGCGTTCTAAGGCAGGTGCGATTTCGGGCCCTTTTAGTGTTACGCTGTGTAGTTAAGAGCCTTACAATGGACCCGCCTCCCTCCCAGAGAGTTCTACCAAATATTCGTATTTAAGGATTCTGATTTTAGAAGGAATTTCAAGGCAGAAGAAGAGAAAGGGCTGAGTCTGTTAAATCGAAGAATAGAGATGTTAGCGTTCAGAATCCTGGCTGAAGAAGAGTACAATTTCGTCTTAGTTAGAAGCAGAATGCGTTATAATTTGTCTCCCACGAACGTCATATTAATTCCCGACCTCCTTCTCGAGGCCCCTCAGAAGCAAACGACCATTCAGAACGGGCTGTTGTACTCGGAAGAGTAAAAGATGAAGGCAAAGTTGTTCGTAAGCACTACGCCATGAAGGCGTATGAGGAAGTGAATGTATAGATCCACGTTTCCTTCACCTCGGCACTAGTTGGAGGTGAGTGATCAGCTTCACGCCCCTTCCGCTTTGCCTCCTTGGAAAGGGTCCCCAGTACCCATTGGATACGAGGCTGGGTGGACTCCAAAGCCTGTTTGGACAACTTAAAGAAGAGAAAACTCTTGACCCTACCGGCACTCCAACTCCAACCACTTGGTCGTCCAGCCCATAGCCAGTCCCTGCACTGACTGCGCTATCCTGGCAGTTATTCGGAAGAAGGCGAAACGTAATTTTATCTCTGCCTGAAAGATGAGATATAGACGTGTCTGAAGCTACCAAGCCTAGTCCTTCGGAGATCTAAAGTTCGCCACGACTGTTACTTAAATGTGTTCGTTTTTGTTAACTGGACAAGTTGATGCAGGCGGTAGATGTCCGTGTCCAATCGTGGACGGGATACCAGCTCTCGTGAGGTTTCTCATGGCTTTCCCCAGTCACTCGAAGGAATTACTGGAATGGTACCGCGCTTGCTGCACGAACGCTTCATTGAGAATCTTTTTCTGTTCATTAGTTATCTGTTATTCTACAGTTCGACGTTATATGGCCTACGATATTGAAAACGCCGTGAAATGTCCAACAAAAAAGATAACCTTTCGGTGTGTCATGTTTCCTTGGACTACACTCTCGAATCCTGTCATGTACTGTTAGCTTCAGGAAGTCTCACAAAAGGTTAGTTATTTGTTATGCCACTTTTGCACGTTTCCCTCCAGTGCTGGGATACAGGAAGCAATGAACCAAGGGCATTATCGTTAATTTGTTTGTTGGGTATTGTCTGTGCCATTTCATTCAACAAACGTGTACCTTATATAGCGTTTTTAACCTGTACTAGGTGAGCTGGTTCGTGAGTCAGTGAGACCCACCTGGTTACCTCGCGCCTGTGTTCCGAGAGTGGCAGCGAAAATGCATTCAGCGGTTATAGCACTACAGGCCAGCGATTTGTTTCATTATGTCTTAAGATTTCGAAAGCTGCGAGTTGAAGACCCTGCGCCCAAGCACCACTCCACGAACAGGTGTATGGCATATAGACACCCATGCATTCTAGACCACGGAGTGACACTAATAAAGAGATACAAGTATATATATTATGCTCCTCTGGTTTGTAACACCGTGTAGTATATTCGTCTGGTATTGACGTTTCGGAGGGAAATGCTTCGACCGCCTTCAGGGTTGAAGTGTGCAGATTTAGGAATCGGTTCGGATAAGCAGATTCAATGGAAGTGATCATGTGGCCCAAAAACCGTGGGGATGGGAGCCCGATTCTGGCCAATGGGAAAAATGGGTTGGAGAATGGCGCTGCTCAGGAGTACACTGCTTCATGGCGACAGGTGGGCTACAGGCTCTGCACTCACGCAGTAAGACAGCCGGTCATATGACAGGGTTGGTGTGTACTGTTACAGCATACCTGTTGTCAGCACACAGAAATGTTTTCCTTCAGTGAATTCACGAATCTTGTAACGAGAGGCCTATACCGCTATTTGGGTGCTTGTTCAGTTTATGAAAGTGAAAATTGAGTCTCAGGACTGCAGTAACAATTGCAAGACATTATAAAATAATCATGCAATATATTGTTCCTCTGGCTGTGAAAGTTGGTCTCTGACATTAAGGGAGGAACATAGACTGGGGGTGCTTAAGAACAGGGTGTTGAGGAGAATATTTGGACCGAAGAGAGATGAAGTGACGGGAAGTTGTAGAAAACTGCATCATGAGGAGCTTCATAATTTTTTTACTCTTCTCCAAGTATAATTAGAATGATCAAGTAAAGGAGGATGGGATGGACAGGGCATGTAGCACGAATGGGGAAACGAGGAATGCATATAGGATATTGGTGGGAAAGACCAAGACGTATGTGGGTGGATAATGTTAAAATGGATCTTAGATAGGATGTGGTGGTATGGAATGGATTGATCTGGCTCAGGATAAGGTCCAGTGGATGGCTGTTATGAACACTGTAATGAACAGTCGGATTCCATAAAGTGTTCAAATTCTTGAGTAGCAGCACAACTGGCGGCTTCCCAAGAACGTCTCAGCTCCATGAATTTAGTATCCGGTTCCAGCACCTTTTCCGTTTACATTTCATGGTAAACATCTGTTGTGTTTGTCATGTGTGTGCTGTCACACGATGGCTGTGAATAGTAGGCCCTGTTATCTCCTGGGATGTTACGTCATAGAAGTTTGCTGACAGTTCTGAAGATTGTACTGCTGCCGTCTTCAAATCTTCTTTCTTCTGTGTGGTTGCGTGTCTGGCCCAATCTTTGACCCTGACATTGGAGGCAATACGTTCTTCCGAAACGTCGGCAAAACTTCTATTATACTATTCGACGTCACATTCCAGAATAAGTGTCAATGTGGTCATACTGTTCAAAGCCACGAGATCATAACCGAACGTCGCGCTGTAGTGGATGCCACACCTTCGTCTTTCGGGGATCACTTCTTCAGATATAGGGTCTGCAGACTGGCTGTCCTGACTGAGGTTATTTTCGCCAATTCCAAGTTCCTGCAGGCTACTCTCGGGACAGTATCACATCAGGCCACGCCTCCTCATTCCACGTCAGTAACCGTCATGCCATTCGGCGGTATATGTTCAGATTCCTTACGCTCGAAACCACAAAATCTGCCCACGACTTGCTTGTACCGGTCGCCCTACAGCGTGAATTCTCAGACTGGTAGGCAAGGCGGGTCACGGAAGTCTAACAATTATTTAATAAGTGGTGTTATCTGCGCACACACTTGTAAGTCAGAGAGGTATCAGGTAGATACTTTGGGAAAATAAAGCTGCAGCTAGAAACATATTTGGCTTGCTTCATCGTGACTGTCCAGGAACTTACACAGGATTTGGGGATGTACAGATCTTATAAAGCTATTTAAGTTCTGTTGTAACTATACAGCCTTATATGGACCTGCAACAGTGTGCAGAATTGCACTTTTCGTGACTGTAAAGGAACGTTATATAGACTACTGTAGGTGTAGAGAGGCTGTAAAGCTATTTAGGTTCTGCTGTCACCGTACGGCCTGATAGGGACCTGCAACAGTGTGCAGAACTGCACTATACGTGACTGTACAGGAACATTTTATAGCTTACTGTAGGTGTAGAGAGGCTGTAAAGCTATTTAGGTTCTGCTGTCACCATACAGCCTGATAGGGACATGCATTAGTGCGCAGAACTTGGCGTTTATCTAACCAGCAGAGATTGTGGGTAGGGGGAGGTGCTTAGATTTATGTACTAATTTTGGGGTTCGCGAGTCGCAGAATTTGAGAACGTCTGCCGTAAAATATTCGGGATAGAGAAATAATTATGTGATCATTGTTAATTTTGGGTTTTGGTGTTTCGTCGTTTATTTCAATTCTTGTTGTTTCCAAACCTCCGGGGTGTGGGCAGATGCATGGCTTGCCCCCCGCCCTGCCTGTGCCCGTGACTTCGTAGTTACTTAAAGCAGAACTAATTAGCCAGAAGTTCACCTGTGCTGATCGTAGATATTGGTCAGATTGCATGTAAATGGCGTTTTGTATAGAAAAATTATTTATGGGAATTTTAAGTGTTTAGAACGGAAATGGCCGAACGATTCAAAAGAATGTTATGACAATACGGTGCTTCATATTAGATGTTACAGAGAAATTGATCTTCTGGAAGCAAAACCGAAGAAGAAATAACCGTCAGACCGAGAAATTAAGCTTCGCAGTCAACAGAATGTGAATGTATGTCTTATTGCCAAAGTGGACTGTGATGAGTAGTACAGTGGAAGCGTGGTTTGCGCTGTGTTACTTAATGAACTGATTAGCAATGCGTGTGTAAACTGGGATATTGTAAAAGAACATTTGATGCAATGCTGGAGTTTGTGAAACGTGGAAGTGTGGGCAATATGCCATCAGGAGGATATTACACTCAGTATATGAACATCAGCAACAGAACTAGCAGCGTGAGAGATCAACAACAGTGCCAACATTTGGCCGCTAAACTTCTCTGCTCTCTTCACTGCGTCGATAGATACGCAAAGGAACAAGCGAACCATTCCTGGCGCTTTCATGTCGGAAGGTAGGTGAAATAGTTAATTGCATTCTTGAAATGTGTAATCATAAACTTTTGCCAGGCAGCAGACGCGTATGGAAAGATGGTTCTGTGTTAGAGTACGTAATCTGGTTCTTGTGTATTAGCTCCCTGCGATTGGAAATATTCTGAAGTTTTTTTTTCCTGTATACGGAGACTATCAAAACGAGAATAAGAAATATTTCTGAACATGAAAGAAGACAACACGAAAAGATAAGTATTCCGGGGGCCAAAATCTGATGTCTTCCAGTTTTTTGAGACGGATCACAACAACATCAAAAACTCTGTGGCTTTAGTCCGCAAGCGAACTATACCGATTGAGCGATCGCCGCTTGTCGGCGAAGTTAGTGTCAACCTTAGCGGATAAAGGATGTTGGGTGGTCAGCGCAACGGATCCCCAAGGCCGTTAATTTCGGTTATGTAGACCGGAGCCGCTATTTCCTTGAAATAGCTCCACAGTTATCATCACGAGGCTGAGTGGACCCCGTTCCACACCCATTACTTCTCAGAAAATCTGATAGCGCCGGGAATCGGTCCCGGGACTTCTGGATCTGTAGCCAGGAACTCTGGCCACTAGACCACAGGGGCGGTCCGAGACGGGTCACAGTAATTATTTAATCGTTTTGAAAAAATCATAGTCGTATCTGGAAGAGAAGTGTTGTACAGATTTCTGTAAGAATCTTGGGAGTGACAGCAGTTTTGATACAAATGGGAAAAGAAATATGTACAAAAGTATGGAAGTTGATAATATTTCGGTGAGGAGGTGATGTATAAGAACCAATGCTTNAGCTAGTAGAAGCCAATCTCGCTGGCTGGGCGTTATAAGCATTATAATGCTTCTACCATCTACCAGAGGTATTAGAGACTACTGTTGGGAGGGAAACGTCCGTAATTTGGCTCAGTGACCTCCTTTGGAGATATGAGGTTCTTTTACGTGCCGTAAAGGTACGACACGGGACCCACGGCTTAAAGTCCCTCCCGGAGGACTTGTTCCCTGAATTTTTCCGCCCTTAAAAATTCGACGACCTCCGCCGGCCATTTGAACCCGCGTACTACGAGTCATGAGGTGGGAACGTTACCTCAAGACTACGGAGGCCGCTTAATGCTTCTTGTAACTACGCTGTTCGCAATTTCGCAGCCTTCACCGTACATGATGTTTACATAACTGCAGACAGATCCTTTGTTGACAGAGGTGATTATCAGCGGAGACTGAGATGCGCGTGGAGTCTGTTGCCAGTACATTAATAGTATTACATTTATTACTGTCTATAGATGTTTCTTGCCAATCACACTGGCCGCGCCCTCCAAAGCGTGAACTGTCTTAGCTCGATCGAAAACCGGGATCGTGGGTGCGAATCCCACTCGAAGCATGAATGTCTGTGTGCGTTCATTCTGTTTCTGTTGTTCTGCATGTAGGTATAGGCCTTGCGATGGGCTAATCCCCCGTCCAAGGAGTCCTACCGACTGTGTATAGATCAAGAAAGTGAAAAAGCGGCCAAGACCCCAACAAAGGGCTGTAGAGCCATAATATAAAAGAATAGAGCCCTTTTGATACGTCGAAAAAGATTTTGAATAAAAGCTGTGATTAATGGGGTACATGCGTTTTACGTCGCCATTTTTATGTATTAAGAGCCTTTTTTGTTTAGAATTTCGGCATTCTCTTTGAGTATATGTAATAGTGCGTGCCAAACTGAAAATTTGTGCTAATATTTTAACGCCCCAGTGAAAGAAAGGATAAAGTTTTCCTGTGCTCATGCAGAATGCCATGACGACGTATGGAGACTTTGAGGTAAAACTCCACACTAGTAAACTCGAGGTAAGTGATTAGCTATACGCTACAGCCGCTTTATTCCTTGGAGGAGAGCATCTGGTTGCCGTTGAACTAGAAGGAGGACACATCTGAAGCAGATGACGTTGAATTTGGGAGATATTTTAAGAGTAATAGTAAGGCCATGCTGATTGCTGACTGCGTAAAGCTTTTCTGCAAACAGAACAAGTTCCACTGTTAATAGTGCATCCCTCCATATGTAATATTTTGTGCTGATAGGTATCCTGTGTGCTATGCCACTCACATGTGATCACCAGGAACGGGCTTATCGATCGGGGNNNGGGGGGTAAACAAAAACGCTAAGAAACGGAAAGCTTTCATATTCTCTCTCTCTCCCTTTTTTTTTTTTTTTTTTTTTGCGGCGAAAGCTGCAGTGTGTTTATGTGGGTATATATGTATGTATGGCTGGTTACATCCCCTCTGACCCCAGGCTGGTGGCAAAGCGAGTGGGTAACACTCTTGATGTCCTGCGTTCAAATCTGCCTGAAGACCAGTTATCCTGATCTGAGGTTTTCATGGTTTCCACTTGATACATCCAGTGAAATTCAGGCGTCTTTCACATTCTTCTCAAGTCATGACACACTAAACTTCTTACCATTTGACTCTATATGAGTACTTGCGTCATATTTATATAAACCATAAACAATTTTATGTAAGTTTTCAGTGTACGCTTAAGAACGGCATGCGGCGTTTGGAATTATAAATGCATAGGGTCCACTTCCCTTCTGATACACAAAAATTGAATTCGCATACATTTGTTGGCAGTTACTTAGTGTGTACAGTAGGGCCGCGCCATAGCTCAAGCGGTTAGTCGCTGGCTTCCCACCGCGGCGGCTCGGGTTGAAACCCGGGTCTGGTCAAGTGGGATTTGTGGTGGACAAAGTGGCGCTGGGGTAGGTTTTCTCCGAATACTTCGGTTTCCCCTGCCAATCTTTATTTCACCAATTCTCCATCATCATAATCACCTGGGGAAGGTACAATAGGCCAATGAGTGGCTGCCGTGCCGAGTGGACCCAGTTTGACTCCACCCCCCCACTAAGCGAATTAAATTAATTAGTGCGTACAGTAAACCCTAGCTAATCCGGATCGAAATATGGAAAATGCTGTTCACAGTATGGCTTGAAGGACACATGACAGTTAGGACAAAACTTGACAGTTGTTTCAAATCTGCATTATTCCGTTCAGAAACAGGTACAACTTTTGAGTCTTCTATCGATGAATAAATCTATTGTCTTCTTATAGTTTTTTAAATAAATGCTCTGCAGTGCATTTTACTTTACTAATCCGGATTATCGCTTAATCCGGATGACTTCTTCCCTAATTACTCAGGGTTAGAGGGTTTATTGTATGTTGGTGAGAAGACGGAAGTGGATATTGAATTAATAAGCAGTCATTGTTTAAGTCTTTACTATTTGAGTCTTAGTTCGTTAGTTAGTTAGTTATTTAGAGAGGGTGGGTTTCCCCATGCACCGAGATCAGTTTGATCTATTGTGCTTCCCTCTATGAAATTCTACCAGTCTCTATACCCTACCGATACTGGTGCTTACCATCAGTCCCGACCAAGCCAGCGAGTTCGGCCTCTACTGGCTTGGCGGTATCTATAATGCTTCCCCCATCTATCAGAGGCGTTAGAGACTACTGTTGGGCGGGAAATGTCCTTGAATTTGGCTCAGTGACCTCCTTAGGAGATATGAGGTTCTTTTATGTGCCGTAAAGCTACGACACGGGACCCACGGCTTAAAGTCCCTCCCGGAGGACTTGTTCCATGAATTTTTCCGCCCTTAAAAATTCCACGACGTCCGCCGGGTTTGAACCCGCGTACTACGAGTCATGAGGTGGGAACGTTACCTCTAGACTACGGAGGCCGCTTACTATTTGAGTCTTACTGTACACATTAAAAGAAAATCCAATAGGCCTCAGCGTATTGAATATTAATATATTGTTCAAAGCCGTTTCCTGATAGAGCACTGCTTTTAGAGGACGAAACAGATTTGAACTGTAGGCTGTATAAAGTCAGTCGACGCTTTCTTCTTTTCTTAATTGCGATCGGTTGCAGAAGGGACAGAAACAATTTGATTGCAGATTCATCCATCAGAAGTGAGCTCGACAGTAAGGCAAATTATGCTCGTATAAGAAGGTAAATATCTCCCTGTAACAGGCCGTGGAGGCCCATAGGGTTGTGAGATGTCGAGGCTCCCACATTTGCTAGACAGTCGGCTCACAGGGCGGGAAAGTTGTCAGCCTTATGCGCCGGCTGCCCTTACCCCCCCCCCCCAGGATGATTTTTTTCCTTGGCACTACAGCCCCAGTGGGCCTAGGCCTACCTCCATGAACTTCTCCGTTCACTTCGGTTTTTCTAGATCTTACACATTCGGTAGGACTCCTTGGGCGGGTGATCAGCTCGTCGCAAGGCCTCTACCTGTACACAAACACAGAAAAACGCACACACACAAACTAAACATCCATGCCCTGAGCAGGATTCGAACCCACGATCCCGGTTTCCAAGCGAGCGAAGACAGTACATGCCTTAGACCGCTCGGCTACTGTGACAGGCGTCTCCAGGATGATTACTGGTACTAATTTCTGTTAGAGACTGAATCAACCTCAGGGCCATAGTGTGGCTGGAAGGATTCGGCCAACTGAAAGGAAACAATGATCGAATGGTGAATCGAACCCGTGACCTTCCGGTTTGTAGCATAGTGCCTCAACCAACTACGCTACCGCGTGCCCTCAAGGCAAATTACACTTAAATTTTATATTAATGGGACTTGCCATAGTGCAGGTGGTTAGTTGTCAGCTTCCCAACGCGGCTATGAGAGTTCTATCCCAGGTCAGGTCATGTGGGATTTGTGGTGCACAAAGTGGCATTAGGCAGGTTTACTCCGAGTAATGCGGTTTCCCCTGGCATTTCTCATTCCACCAAGTGCTCTATACTCATCTGTCATCTGGGGCTCGTACGTTAGGACAAAGAGTGGCCGACGTACCAAGTGGACTCAGTCTGAGCCCACCGCATGGAAACTATAATTGTATCTTATATTAATTACATCCTGCTATGTAAATCACTATAGATAATGTACGAGTATATTGTATGGTACATATGTACACGAACATGCCCTGTTAGACAGAAATCCTATCTGTTGGAACTAATGTTGTGTTGACA